TAAATAACTTTGCGAATTTTAGCGCACTCTGATTTTTAGTAAGGAGGGGTGTTACACCTAGGACGCCTACCAACAACCACGAAATCTCGCTGAGACAAGAAACTATCACACCCCATCTAACTTAAGACTCCAATCAGGCTTAATGACCCAATTACTCTCCTTGCAGTCATGCCTGACCAGAAAAAAGTTTTCCCTACGATAGCGCTTAAGGCTACGCAAACTCATCTCTCTTGTCGGCCACATTGGCTCCAGTCCTGGCCATGATGCGACCCACTCCCGGCTGAGCCAAATCGGAGACTACCCAGGCCGCCACATCATCCTGGTCATCGCGACCTTCTAAACTCCATTGCCACCTGGCCAGTGCAGCCTTTTATCCACTGCAAACTCCATGACCCCTGGTCACAGCAACCTATTGGCCACCATAAACTCTACGGCCCCTGACAACTACGAAGTCTAGGGCCCTCTGGCCACCGCGACATCTTAGTCACCATCTTTTTATTTTTTTTATTTATCTTTTTTTTTAAACAATAGCGAGCTCTCCTCTGGCTGCGTCTGGCCAATCCTGCAGCTGACACAGCTACCCAGCATGACTGCCATAGCATCCTGTCCACGACAGTTGTTCAGCCATCTTGGCCACCACAACTTCCGGCCACTACTTTTTCTTTTTATTTTTTCAGTTTGCGACATCCTCCTCTGATCTTCGAGGCGAAATGTTGGCTTGACGTGCTGCCAATGGGCTGCTGCAACCACTGGCCTTTTTTCATTTTTTTTTTCATCGCGCGGCCCCTCTTCTATTCGCATGTGATTGAAACTCGTGGTCATCGTGGCCGCCACAGCACGAGCACTGCGTTATGGACACCGCGGCACAACCACTACATTGCTTCTTCTTTTTGATAGATATTTGGATATGTCCCACAGACGATGCCAATTTGATGCGATAAAAATATCGACTCACAAATATTGTCAGTTAAGCTGCCTCGTATTGATTGCTTTTGCCTCATGAACCAGATCGACCCGCAAAGAGCCGGGGACAAGGCCCTAATATAGACACTCCGACCCTCAAGTCAGAACTTGCTCAACGATAATATATAGAGAAATATATGACTTAAGGCGTAATAATGTGAAATTTTAATGAGGTAGAACCTGACAGCCTTATATACGATGGTTGTCTTGATGCGCAAGAGAGTCATTGTTAGGAAAGAGATCCCATCAGATCATAATCTCTAACTTACCACATATCTATCTGGGAAAGTCTCCTTGAGCAAGTTATACTTTCCCTCTTATTAGAATTATTTTGCCCCTTACCATGCAACTCTAAGGCCCCCAAGCCATAACCACGACCTCCTAACCTGCTTGCTGCGACTTGCCGAGGCCAGCCTGACCTCCTCGTGAAGTCGAACCTAGCCTCGGGTCTTACTACCTCAATACTTTGAGGTCGGCTTTCTTGTCAGGCTCCTTGAAGTCGAGGCCTCCAGGTAATCTTCTTCATGTCGATTTTCTCGTCGGGCTCCCAGAGGTCGATGCCTTAAGGTCGTCTTCTTTAGGTTGACTTTTTTGTCGATCTTTTGGAGGTTGAGGCCCTCTTGTCGTCTTCTTCAGGTGGACTTTATTGTCGAGTTCCTGGAGATCGAGGCCTCCAGGTCATCTTCTTTAGATCGACTTTCTTTCGGAGATCCTGGAGGTTGAGGCCTCCAGGTCATCTTCTTTAGATCGACTTTCTTGTCGAGCTCCTAGAGGTTGAGGCCTCCTGGTCATCTTCTTCAGGTTGGCCAGTACTTTGAGCTCAAATATGAGCTCATTGACTAAATTACTTACTTCTTGACAAGCTGGAGCTCTGTTGGACAGGCCTACCTGAGCTGGCTTTTCAAGATCTGTCGAGCTATTCTGAGTGCAGCATCAAGCCATCACAGTCGAGCTCGTCAACAATGGTCGTTGTCGTTCTACGAAAAACCCATCCAATAAAATTATGCAAATCACCCCCAAATCCAATCGTCGCGCTTCTCCTAACCAAACCTCTGGAAACCCCTAAAACCCCAATTCTCCAACAACAGCCCTTTCATCCAAGCCCTCGAATTTCCCCGAGTACGAGATGCTCACCGTGACCTGGGGCGTAGTCCAAGGCCGCAAGGAGAAGCTCGTGTCCCGGGTCATCGTCTGCGACCACAACAAATCGTTAGGCATTTTGCCCGACGAGCTCGAGGCGTTCAAGTTGCCATCTGAGGTCATGCGCAAGCGTGTCGAGTTCCTGCAGAAAATAAACCTCACCATTAACGAAGGAAACATTGAGATAAAATTCGAAGAACCCTATATATGTTAATTTGAATTTCAAAAAATATTTTTCCCTAAATTTAATTCAGATGGAGTCCATGAGACATCAGATAAAATAACGTTGATTCCCTTAAATTTGGTATGTGAGACATCAGATAAAATGACGTTGATTCCCTTAAATTTGGTATGTGCATCTCGCACGCTCACTTTTTTGGTGGAAATTGAACCGCCAAAATCGGAGGAGGTTGCGATATACACATATTGTGTATGTTGCAATTCACTATAAAAAAAAAAAAAATTGAGATTGCAAATTTTAAATTGAAGATTATTATTTATTCTTTCATAATATAAAACACTCATCCTTAACATTTAAAGAAATACTTACTATTACCTTTCGATAAGATGCATAGCCGACACAAAAACGTAGTAGCTATTACATTCGTTAACGATATCATTTACAACCACAAACTGCAGTAGCAGATTTATTTTATTACAAAGCACACGACCAGCAATCTCTAACAATACAATTTGTGGCACGACACAAAAACACGATACAGAATTTCATGGGCAGAGACTGACCCAAGAACCAGAAGTGGAAGACCCAGAACCGGCCCGGCCCGAACATCCAATTTCGACTGAGGGATGGAAATTCGAAAGCCCACAACGACAAGTAACCATAAAAATCAACAAACAAAGCTTAATGGGAAATGGAAAGTGGGACCATTTTTCTTCTTTATCACCAAAATGCGCATGCTCACAAAATTCATGGAGTTTTTCATTCCAATAGCGGGAAAAAGGGGAGTCCTTTTACACCACCATGCGTTCAAATCTGTCATCTTTACTTCAAAACCCCCCCGCTTCAAAAAAAAGAAGAAAAAGAAAAGCACTCTTAAAATAATAATCATTTCAAGTCCACAATCATAGCTCCAAGTTTTTCTTCACCCGAGCGTAATGAAACGAGACTGCGATTGAAGACACGAAGAAAAGCTCCCCCATCCCATTAAGCTTGCTCCAACTTTATTAAAAGGGTCTGAGGCAAAAAGAGGAAAAAGATAACACACCTTTACTACTGCTTTCAAAGACTGACCATGATTATACCCATACACGCCCTTGATGACTCTTGCTACACCATTTCTCTTTTCCCGCTCGTTCAACAAGCAGTTAGGGGGAAATGACGGATTCGTCCCCGGAGTATCTTAGTCCGAGGGTTTCGGCTTCGGTTCTCATTGATTTTAAGTAAACAATTGCCTTATCGATAACGGAAAGTGGGTCTTTCTCCTCAGAACCAGGAATAATACTCTCCAGGATTCTCAATGCTTGACGGATTTTAACCTTCTTCTCTCTCTTCACCGAATCAATTTCATAACCGCACAGATTTCCATGGCCGGTCCATGGTGATTTCTTGAACGTACTGTCGAGCAATTTTTGTCTTTTATGCGTGTCGTTAGAATCCACCACTTGTTCTATTGGTTCCTCGACTAATTTGTCATCGTAATACCCCTCTACATCAACGGAAGGCGTGTGGCCCGTGCTAGCTACTTCATCATCATCGTCTTCGTTATCATAATCATCACTATCGGAAAAAAATAGTGCGTCAATTTCTTCAGTATCTTCGGGAAAATCATGCTCACCTTCTCCATCAGTCAAACAATTTTCGCCCCATTTTTCCTCAAATATAGGATTTGTCGAGAACTCGGGATTTACACCAGCTGTCATTTCGGCCAACGGGCCCTTAGCACTTGAGGGAGTGATTGGTGCAAAAGCATGATTTTGAGGGGGAAAAGAAGGGCTAAAAAACAATTTCGTCTGGTATTCGGATTGATCGAAAATAAGGAACCTTTTCTGTGGTGCATACAGAGTATCATCAATCGGTTTAATACCAACTAATTGATTTTTGGTCAGGAACGAGATATTGCGGTTTTGAGGCATCGGTTTTGAAAACCGGTCGGCTGCATTTTCTTGGCCTGTGTTCGGAGCAAGCAAATAGTTAGAAGCAGACTGCCCTGGAAATGCAGAAAGATTGGCAGTCAGCTCTGAAGGAAGAAAAAATGGCACGCTATAATTTTGGCCGTGTCGTAAAAGTGCCATGTGATCCAAATAGGATATGTTCTCAGACTCTTTGGCCCAAAACATCCTGCCAAAAGAGAGAAAACCTGCTGACACATAGTAGTAACATACATCAAAACTGGGAGAATGATTTGAGATAACTATCCATAGTACCGAAAAAGTTAATAAATAGCCATACCGAGATTATGCTAGTACGTAGTCCTGATATTAAATTACTTTTGAATATGACGGAAGCAAAAAGGAGACTGAAAAGACAAAATCCTGCTAGGTTAATGTGAAGGATGAGAAATTAGGACCAAACTACGTAACGGGTTTCAGCAAGTGCCGGAAATATTCAGCCTGGAAAACAGTTAACCACGGAAATTAGAATATGTGCAAAACAGTTGATTGAGTCATTATAGACAAAAACTCGATTTAGAGATAAATACAAAAACTAACCTGGCAATTTTGCAAAGATTGAAAGCAAGCTATAACTCTAACGATTATGGTAGTTCTTCCAGCCATCCCATTTTCATGTTTAAGTGCCCTAAATCTTGTCTGGCTTGCTGCTTGGCACACCATAACTACTTTTGACTCGTATGAGTGTACTTCAGGAGGAAATTTTGAATGTTTCGACACACCAAGGACACTAATAAAAAGAAATAAGAAGTTCCGGCTGAAAATAGAGATGGTAATAGCTATGAACTCTTGTTGGACCAGACGATTGACTTGAACTGGGAAGAAATCTAACAAAGAACAATTAAAAGTTAACTCGAATAATTAACTGAAATTAGGTGATGAAGACTGAAAAGAACTAGAGAAAACTAACGGCTCTATATCTCGGGAACTTTATAGAATGTAGAAAAAACAAATGAAGAAAGGCAAGTGATTGGATCCCATGGATGATTAATAAGAACAAAGAAAGATTACCAAACAAGGAATTGGTTTCAACAGAAAATGAGTAAACTTATAGAATAACTCTGCAGTACAAATTCAAGGAAATAACACAGCGAAAAACGTCGATTGACAGACTCAGCCACTGCATATTTGTTCACACCCTTATATTTGTTCACACCCTTATATCCAGCAACTTATTGCAACTGAGTACTGTATATACAGAGAGAGAGAGAGAGATAAGAGAAGCCACCTGAAACAAGAACAATAGAGTTTTATTTTGAGAGGCACGAAACAAAAACAAGAGTTACAAATCAGAGCCCCAACCAAACCAAACCAACCAACGTAAGAACTTCACTGATTTCTTGAAAAAATCCCAAAAAAAAAATTGAAATCAAGAATTGAGAAAAATTAAATAACTATTAGCTGAGAAGATCGGAAGAACTTACAGGTTTTGGTACAAGGACTGCTGAGAAATTTTCAGAAAGATCAGAGTAGAAGTTAATGGCAGTTGGATTGTTGCAGCAAGAGACGAGAGTTGGGAGTGATGAACAGTATAGAATGGATAGCAGCTGAAGGTATCACACGAATTGAGGCTTGCTCACAGCCTCACACTATATAATACATTCAATGACCATAATGCCCTTTCCCATGTATGAAATGAAACCAAAACCCCTATTTTTCGGCTTTTTTTTTTTTTAAAAAAAAATATATCGTTTTGACTACAAATTTTTTCAATTCATATTCATTTATGTTATTTTTAATATTATCAATATAATTACACAATATCGACTAATCATTTTTACATATCATATCAACTTAAGAGGCAGAACAGACAAACAAACGAAACACACCAGAAAAGAAACCTAAACAACAATAACTAAATGATCAATCCCCAAACTGAATTAAAGGACAAAAGACGACTCCTAGAAGAGATCCGAAGCACAAGAACCACACCTGCTACTGCCGAATGCCTAGCAAAGACGAAGACTCAAGCCTTGAACCAATCCAAAAAATCGACTTGCTCTCTAGCCGAAAAATGCCAAAATCGTCCCAAACGCACCATCGTCCCGAAACCGTGTAAGCCCCGGCCCAAAATTATATTAGTAGCTCGACTTTATTTATCGGAATTAGTAATATTTTAATTATGCCGAGAATTTTTAGTATTAATCGCATAATTTATTTAATTTCAAGTTTAAGCCATAAGAAGAACGTTCGAATTATTATTTCGAACGAGATAAAATCCTAAGTCTAAGACTCGATTAGTTATTTTTATCGGGTATTAGAAAAGTCCGAAATTTATTTAATTCCCGAACAAGCCTAATTATTTAATTAGTCGGCCATTTTTAGTTCGAATAGTCGAATTAAATTCCGAATCGAGTAGTAAATTATTTTCGAGCCCGAGGCGATATAATTATCGAGCCCAATTTAATGTTCAAGCTTAAGCCCAAGTAGAATTTAATTTACAAGTCCAATTTTAAGCCCAAAATACACACTTCAAACCCTAATTCTCCCACATATAAATACATCAATTCCCCATCCTCTCATTGGGATTGATTAGCCGCCGAAAGGAGAAAAGCTATCAGCTCAAAAAAGTACTTCTCCCAATTCTCAACATCAGCTTAAAAAAAAAAGAGAGAGGAAAGCAAAATCGGAAAAAAAAAGAGAGAGACCTTCAAGAACAAATTCCTCCACCACCATCTTCTTCATTCTTTTTCCGGTCAGCTCTCCGATATTCGGCGAGTCACCAGCTCCGGCGAGCACCTTCCCGCAGGAAAGCTCCGCCTTCACGCCACTGCTCGCAGCTCCAGCGAGCGGCTCGAGCTCCCGCACACCCCAGAGTGGCGTGGCGCGTGGTCATGAACAGACTTTTTGTAATGCATTTTACATGTCATTCATATGAACATGTATTATTATTATTATTATTATTATTATTATTATTATTATTATTATTATTATTATTATTATTATTGTTATTATTATTATTATTATTATTATTATTATTATTATTATTATGCGTGCATTCAGTACGATACCTTCTGCATTTCAGACTTAGTATGTATAATGAGATATTCAGACTTATGCATGTTTAATGCCTTTATCTCTGTGGTATCTTTATATAACGGATTTGATTAGGTTGCATGTATTTACTTACGTCTGCATGAGAAAGAGTTTAAGTTAGTAGCATCCCACGAGTTAGTATGAGTACTTTCGAAAATAAAGTGAAAGAGTTTTTCGAAAATAAAAAGCAAAAAATCTTGCTCTGATTTTTTTATAAATTCTGGAATAATTAGGCGGGGTGTTACAGTTGGTATGAGAGACACTTTGTGGTTCTGTATTGTAACGCCCAGATTTTTATATACTATTTATGGAGCTCGACTATATTTCCATAAATATTAAGTTTCTAAATGTGATGCACTTATTATATTTATTTGCATTAAATTAAATAATTAGTATTAAAGTCTAAGCCATGAAGAATTCATTCGATTTTAGTTATTAAAATCAAAATTTTATTTAAGCGAACCGAAGTCGGATAATTGGACTATTTCGAGCTCAAGTAAGTTTGAGAATCCAAGTAATTTTAGCCGGCCCATTTTTAATTCGAGTAGTCGAATTAATTTCCAAACCCAAGCGATATTTTAAATATCGAGCACTCGTAGTCTTTTAATCGAGCCAATATTTAATTTCGGCCCAAGTCGAAATTATTACTACAAGCCGTCATATTTTATTTATAGACTGAGTATTTAATTTCTTAGTCACTATCCGGGTTAATCGAGCCCGAGTGTTAGGATTTTTTACTAGCCCGATTATGTAGCGAATTTAGGCCCGACTCTTAGGCCCAATTTTAAGGCCCAACAAGACTATCAAACCCTAGCTTTCTATTGGTTTATAAATAACATCTTACCACTTCACCCAACACCATATCCATTCATTTCATCTTCATCTTCTTCAACATCTCCCAACACCAACATTAAGCAAGCTCATCTCTTCCACACTCAAGCATTTTCTGGCCAGTCACCCTTCCCGGCAAGCCGCCGTCGTGTTTTCACCGGCGAGAAACTCGTCTTCACGTCAAGCCCTCAAAACGCCGACATCTTCACGTCAGCCCGCATCCGAGCTCGTCATCCACGCTGTCAGCCCATAACATCTGTTTTCCGGCAACCTTGTCCTCACCAAGCCGAGCTCTCACGCCGTCTCGTACGTTGCTGCCGTCCGGTCGTCTATCCACGAGCCCAACACCCTTCGCTGTCACTTTTAGCAGTCCCGCCGGAAGATCCGCGACCATGGCCGCCTTAAAGCTTCCCCACCATCGCAGCTGCTTCGCGATGGCCTTGTTCCGGCGAGTTCACGCCGAGCTCTGCCATTAATGTCCGTTGCAACTCGACCAGTCACAGCACCCTCCCATCAGTGCGACGGGCAGCCTCCCAGCGTGAGCATCCTATCACTCTCGGCGTCCGTACACCTGCGGGTCCACCTACACCGACGAGCCCGAGTCCACCCTAGCTCAGACCCGCGACGAGTGCACCCTAGCCGACCACAACCGCAACCAGCTCACCTCCGAACTGACCGACTCACCCGCGACCAGCTTCAAGATCGAGCCACCCAATACCGAGTTAGAGTACCCATCCTTCAGATTTGGTCGACCGCCACCTCCTGCCCCTGACTAGACCTGACCTTTTGGACTCCATGCCAGGTCACTCTGATCAGGATGACCTTTTATGAGGATTTGATTTTAGATCCACAGCAGAAATTTTTGTGATCCTTGCATTTTCATTTTATCTTTTATTTTTTATTTTTATTTTTATTTTCTCTGCTTTTGATGTTGCTCTATGTATTTTCGACTTGGATGTAGACCATTGACTTTTTTTTAGCCCTAACTGGGCCATTATATTCACAGGTAGGGGGTGTAGCCTCAACCTCCCATCCCAAGCTGGGATGTTTATATATATATATATATATATATAAAGAAACTATAGATTCCGCCGCGTTAGGGTTTATTTTGCCAAATTCAAACATGCATGTTGTTGACGTTCCTAACAGAACCAAACATATGGTATCATAGCCCAGGCTTAATTAATATTCGTGCACTGTTTGAGTTAGGACTTGCCTGTTTATGTAAATTAATTGTGTACGGACGCAACACATAGTAGATTAGAAATTGCAAAAGTTGTTTGTAGGTGATTTCGAATCTG